ATGCGTTAATATAAGGGGCTCGAACGAGAGGAAGTAATTTCTCTGAAATACGAAGTGACGACATTATAAATTTTGAATCAATCTTTCGTTCATCTTGTATGATACAAATGTAAAAACGTTTCGATTATATAAATTATCCTCTATCGTACGACACGAAAATTACTGTTCGCTCGCTCAGTCAAGCTTGTGATTCTTCCGGTTTACGGATGGTTGATTGACAGGTTTCCGCTCGGTTTATTATTAATCGATAATTGATTAAACTTGCATTATGCGATCCATTAGAATTTCTATGCACCTCGAAGGAATCTTGCTTGCTTGGTTTCGATAGACGTATAACATCGAAATTTTATCACACTGAATACGAAATAAAATAATAATAATTTCGATCTCTTGATTTTTCTGCTTAAGATCTTGTACAGGTCTGTCGAAATTTTCACCAAGCCAAGATCTTCGATCGAATCGAGGAACATCTCTAACATAAGAAGAAAAGAAAGAAAAGAGGAGTTTATATCATTCTGATGATGAAAATGAAAGATCAGAAGAAGTTCGGATCGAAAATCAGCTTCATATTCTTGAGAGATTTTAAAAAACCAAGAAGTTGAAATCCAATAGATGATAATCCGTTCGAGAAACCATCCTCTTCCTCCTTGCATAGTTAAAGCGCAGATGATGGATCGATTCAGCTACGTTCCTGAATTAACCCACCCTAGCCACGTTGTTATCCCATCGTCCAGGAATTTCGACTTACGAAAGTATCGTAGAAAGTGATAGGTTTAACAAGAATAACAAATTATCGTTCGTATTTTATTATAATTATCGATCCGTCATTTTTATGATTCCATAAGAGAGAGATTAAGCAAACGGTTGTTAATTATCGTCGATTGTGATTGTTCAAGCATGAAAATTAAGAGAGGTCATCGATCACCATTGGCTATCAATCGGCCAACCCGGCAGCTAGTCAAGTCGAAATTAAGAGAGGGATTGGCCATCGATTACCACCATCGGTTAGCCATCGAAATTTAAGAGAGTGCGCTGGCTTCCACGATGTATATTTTTACAGAAAAAGGGAGTAGTGTTGACTACTATGAAGCCAGTTGAAATTTCCTTCGATCTCGAATTTGAAGAAGATCGGAATCTTCGTTTCTCCGACTCGAAGAGTCAGCTGGACGAACGAACGGAGCTTGTCGTTTCTCGACGAATGGGGATGGGAGAGGGGAGCGAGGGAGAAAGGAGGGGGGAAGCGTCGACAGCGCCACGTTGCAAGAGTTCGAGGCAGAAAAGTTGGCAATATTTGACGGATGGAATTGGGTTTATTCGACAAGCGGCGAAACCGGTATTACGGCTACGTTGACGAGTAGTCATACACGAGTAATGCGGTTTACGCTTCGCGTTTCAATTTCTCTTTGACGCGCTATTCGCAAATATAACCTTACTCGACAAATATCCGGATAGATAGACTCGGTTTCAAAGATCCACGCGACGTCATCCCGAATCGATCGATATTCGCACGCTCTAAGATTCTCCAAGAAGAGAAAAGACCTTTATACGCGATTCCCTGCGTAAGCGCACAGTTGTGGAGACGGTCGCGAGTCGAACGACGTTAGGTCGACTCTACTTGCTCGAATCGATTCTACGAGTAATTTGAAACGTTCGATGGTGACTCGTTGAAAATTAATTAATAAGGGTTGATTCTGATGATTTTAATTAAAAATCTAATTTTAGAAATTAAGGAATAGGGATGAAACGTTCGATCGAGAAAGTGTCGCGATGATGACTTCTTGCAAATTAATCGTGGAAAAGATTGATTCTAATGATTTTAATTAAAAATCTAATTTTGGAGAACATGGAATAGGAATTTTGATCGAAAAAATAATGGTTCTTGCAAATCAATCGTGAAAGAATTGTTTTTACACGTGTTCGATTGAAAAAGTGATGATGACTTCTTGCAAATTAATTCTGCAAACAATAAAATTTAATTTTGGAGATTAAGGGATAGGAATGACACGTTTGATCGAAAAAGTAATGGTTACTTCTTGCAAATTAATCGTGGAAAGGGTTAATTCTAATGATACGTATATTAAGTGATTTAATTTAAAAATTTAATTTTAGAAATTAAGGGAACAGGGATGAAATACTTAATTGAAAAAGTGATTTCTTACAAATAATAAAGAGTTAACTCTAATGACACGTATTAAACGATTTAAAAATCTAATTTCAGAGATTAAGGGATGAAATAAGAATTGAAAAAGTAACTATCGTCAGCGATTTGGACGATGAAATAAGTATAAATCCACAATTTCTCATTTTACGATTCTGACTCGTTTCACCAAACTTCCCTTCTATTCATTTAATACCATTCATTAATAATTATTTTATATTTTATATTATTTCTTGACAAATTTTCGAAACTACTATTTATATCATTATTCTACGTTTCTTGACAGAAACAAATTTAGAATCCAACTCGACACTTTTTGAAACACGTCGAGTACAAAGTTTCCATCCACAAGATTTTCTTCCTGCTCGTCCATCGAATCTGCGCAAAATCACGTAAATAAATACTCTCCAATCTTTAGCAACAGACTCTCGCTTAAGTTAAATTAACGCAATTTAGTAACGTGTGATCGTGTCATTTACACGAACATGAAGTACACTCGACGAGAGAGAGAGAGAGAGAGAGAGAGAGAGAGATCGAGGATATCGAGATCGATGGAACATGCACCGAACTTTCAAAGGAGCGTGTTTACCAGAGGCAAATGGGCGAGTTTGTTTTGGAAATCGAAATCTCTTTGCCTTCCTTCCGAAAAGCGGATTTCCCTTGCCACGCACGGCGTGCAAACCAACTCGCATCTTTCCTCCTCTTCCATAATAAAACTTAGATTTCTTCTTGAAAGCTCGATCGTTGAGGAAACCTCCGTCGCAAACAATGAAAAATCTAGGAAGGAAATTAAGAAGGGAGAGACGGGGAGATCGGTCGTCGTTGAATTCTTTCATGTTTTATTTATCTTTATCGATTCAATGGATGGCGAGGAAGAGAATTTATTCGAGTGAAAAAGCAGTGACTTTCAAGATTGTCAGCGGGAAGAGATCGTTTCGAAAAGGACAATTCGGCGACTTTCTAGTTTCAATATTTATGATTCAACAGTTTGCATCCTCTTCTTCTTTTTCTTCCTTCTTTGAAAGCGACATCGAGGAAAAGAGAATAAATAGAAGGAAAGAGAAGGATTCTTACTTGTTCGTTAATGTTCGTTACCTTTTTTCAAATAATCAAATTCGTATCACCTTATACCCTCGTCGAACTCAAAAACAAAATTTGATTTTAATCGCAATTTTTACAAATATATTTCAAGCATTGTTCGCTCGAATACTTGACAAGAAAGGAAAAAAAAAAAGGATCATAAACTACATATATTCGACGTTTATTAAACGAAAGATAATAGGGAGAATCGATGGCCGAGAGAGAGAGAGAGAGAAACGCCGCGTAAAAAGTTGGACGGAGATCGGATGGGATATTCGGTTGGCAAGCTTGTTGTGTACGCGCGGGCGGGCGTATATGTAGATACGGGTGTGTATACAACGTGTGCTTTTTAAAACGATGCACGATAGGCATCGCGGGCCGGTTGGTCGACCGCAACAACATTTGCAAAGTCGGCAGGGATCATTGTTTCCCTGCAACGCGTTTTTATCCGCCCGATGCGCATCGGTTAACGTTAATTTCCACTTTCTGATTCTCCCCACTCCTCCACGCGCGCCTCGCTGCGCGCGCATCGGTTCCGCCAACGGTTTTTTCCACTACCAAAGTTCTCGACAACACAACGTGCGCGCGGATTCGCGGGACGAGATGTTTCGCGCGTGCAACCGACCACTCCCGGCGGTTTGGCAAGAGGAAAGAGAAAAGGTTCTGAATTTTTTAATTATTCCAACCAGAGGTGGTTTTCCTTCCTTCCGTGAAACGCGGATTCTTTGAATTACCCAGTTTTTTTGAGGGGGAGGGTGGTTTAATATGCGCTTCGCGGAATTTTTGGGTGAAGAAGTTTGGGTTTGGAAGATTAATGACATATACATTTTATCGTACATGTTTTCAACGTACGTAAGATGAAAAGGATTGAAAGCACGAATTAAAAATTATTTACTCCTCTCCAGTTTGTACTTGAACAAAATAGAAATAAGAAGTTTATAACGTTGATACGGTTTTCTTCGTAAGTTACAGTTGAGTTTATACAATTTCTTCTTTTTTTTTTTTTTAAATAGAATATTCAATTATATTAAGATACAATTGAAGAATTTTGAACGAAATAGAAAATAAAAAGTTTATAAAAGTTGTATTTATATATATATGTTTCTTTGATACAGTTTTCTCTATAAGTTGCAGGGATAATTTGTGCAAAATACGGGAAAAACACGAAACGGACGGAGAGAAAGTTTCCAATTAGCGAATGGATAGGGAGAAAATTACTTTGCCGAGAATTAACGAGACGATAAAGACCTAGCGTAATGAGCAGATAATCAACAGCCTCGGTATACATCGGCAACAGAGACATTCTAATTAACGAAAGATGAACGTGACCATTTTGAATCTGAACAAATTGCGCGCGTGGCCAAACCCAATAAACAGTATTATGCACCTATGAAAAAGAATCGAGTCGTAATTAAACGTATAATATAAAGTTAAAAATGGTTTCATCATCGTTCAACATTGAATTGAAAATTAATGTTAAAAAAATTTAGGGAAGAAAAAGAGATTATCTTCAATAGCATTTTTCAATCATCTCGATAAAATTTCGAAAATTAAATTAATTTCTAAGAAAATAAAAAAAAATATCTTCCCTTTTTTTTTTGACGAGGGAAATTTCGTGGACGAGCGGCTCTGCGGTAATCTCCTCTTCTGCAATAAGTTTTCATAAAGTTACCGCTTCTATTTGGTGACGAGCTCAATGGACAAGAAGGAAATCCCTCCTTATCGTGTAAGCGTTGGTTGTATAAATTGTGAGTCCGCTTACCGTGCAACAGTATCGAGAAAAAGAAAATGCAGATGATCTTGGCCAGAGCCTTGGCGCACCTCCCGTTCCCGCCGTACCATAAATCCATTCGTAGCGCCTTCACGGTCCATCGTTTCCGGTACATTTCGCGATACCAGGCCTCAAAGTCGTGCCAGCTCGAGTGGAGCGATGAATCTTTTCTGCCGGCAACAAAACAGAGATACACTTGCCATTGTCGAAATTGTGAACAAAAGTCAGCTCAATGAACAATTTTCCTTTCGATGATATCTATCTTCGAATAGATTTCGAGAATTGTTTCTATTAATTATCACGATAATTCGTCGAATTATTTTACAAAGCGTGGAAAGTAAATCGATAAGTTTCGTAAAATTTTGATTTCACTCGTTTATAATTTTCTATTCAAATTATAAATTTTCGATCACCTCATATCTTTGATTAACTATTCATGATGGGATACGATAATGTCCAATTTGCCTATTTGCAGATGCCAAATATCATTACGCAACACAATCGAACAAGCATTTGCGTAATAGGAATCGTATAGATTACAATATGTACGATAATAATATTTGTTATGTAATTTGTAGATTTGGGCGGGGAATTGTAGGCACAAAAGCGACGCGATGGCAATTTCAGAATGTTTACAATTTCGATTATCTAGTCGAATTTATCATCGTTGCGTATTACGTGTCAATAATCGAGCCTTTATTATAACAAATTGACAATCATTTCCACGTTGGCAACGGTGATACAGATATCGAATAATTATATTCTTTGCTTAGATTTTAAAGAATTACGACGAATTTTTTGATAAAATGCTTTTTTTCGACACCGAAATCGAGATCCTGCACGATATCGTGATTCCGAATTAGGATCACTCGATCGTAGGTTTATAATTGGTAGGATTAATTGCGTGCAGGTGCATTGCGACGCTTGATGTACTAATTTTGCACTTCGTCGAATGCGTGGATTTCGCTTCAATTTCAGGCTTTCCTGGAATCGAATTCGTTCGTCAAATATAAATTCCAAATTTATTACGCTTATTGACTCGATTCTTCTCTTTGATGTGAACTTTGATGATCGCTGCACGCGTCAATTTTGAAAATGAAATTTGCACAGACAAAGATAAATAAGAATTTTGTTTGAATCGAAAATTTGAATTGTATATAAGCGGAATAATAATTTCATCCAAATAAATTCAAATTTTATTACTTTCCTTGTCTTCTTTCCGAAAATTTTCTTCTTAAATTCTTTTTCTATAAATTCTGAATAAAATTGTTGTCATTGTATATAGAGATGGTTTTAAAATTTTCCTAGCCGATCGAAAGAGATTTTAATTAGCAGCAACTGATATATTCTAGTCAAGCAGGGTTAGTAATTTTCGTGAAAAAATTTAATGGAAATTATGCAAACTAATGCAAATATAATGAAAACGCGTCAGTGTTGTCACGGTTGGATCAACGAACTATAGCGAACAACTGAGCAATCATTATACAGTGATTTAGAAATACACGTCAATATTTCGAGAATTTACATATTATTATTACACTAGTTATTAATAATATACATATATAACAAAGTGCAAAGCGTTGGCTGAATCCAGTAGTATATATATCAAACGCATAATAAAAAACGTACCCTAGTCGTCGTGTCACCAGTTGTCGACTCGATAAAAGGTGTCTATTGCATTCGTGTCGAAGCCACGCGTTCCTTTCTTCTCCGCTGCATTTCCCTCGTTTTTTCCCAACTCGCCTCGTTGAAAATTGACGCCGAGAAATTCATTCTCGCACTTCATCGAGCATCCACCGTCTCCGAATAAGCATGCTCCACCTTCAATCAACGTTATATTCGGCCGACATATCTTTCCTTCTTCAACGAAACACTACTCAACCAATCACGAATCGCGCTATTTAACGTTAGAACCCGTCATGGAAAACCACGCACTGAAATGGATCGGCGAAAAAACGTTCGCAGCTAATTCGCGGTCGATTGAGATCAGCGTCATTACTGGAACAATGAATTTTTTAAAATAATCTCGATCTAATAAGTTTTTGTCTCATAAATATTTAATACACTTGTTAGATTATGCAGTTATTTTTTCATGAATCCTTTAATCGAATCGTCGCACTACTTTTAACATATCACGAACTAACAAAAACACGATTAATCAATTACAAAATCACTTGCAGAAATGGTCGACAGTTATTCACAATAATTCTCTACTCTCACATAACCTAACTTTTTTCTAAATCCGTTCTAACGAAAAATCAACTCCTCGAAACACTTCCTTTCATCGAAACACTTTTTCTTCGACTCTTTTCACGTCGGACCGGATACAACTTTCACACGAATCGAGGCATCCCTTGCGAATCGAATTTCCACGTGACAAGCTTGTGCATTTTGCGCGGCGGTGCGGTAATTACGAACATTCGCCTCGCGCAATCACGAGTCTACCCGCTGATGCTTCTCCTTAAGTGCCACTCATTCGTCATTGGGCACGCACACTCCGTTCCTCGTGAGCCACGTTTCGTCGCGTGTGTGTACACGCATGGGCAATACCGCGAGGACCACCGGTGGTGGAGCGACTGAAACGAAATAGTCGCGCCACGTCGAGGCGACAGAGAGGAGAACAGAGATGGGCATGATGGTATACGAAGTAAGGAAGGAAGGAAGGAAGGAAGGAAGGAGGGAGGGAGAAAGAGAGAGAGAGAGGAAAGTATGGAGGTTAAGTGGTGGTCAGAGAGGGGAGGAAGAAACTCGGTAAGATGGATAGACGAATAAGTGGACGATCGAAAAGAGCAGGTGGGAGTGAACGATGTCCGAGAAAGAGTCAAGAGAGAAAAAAAAGAGGAAGAGGAGAAAGAGTGGCGCGTAAAGGGATCCGTGAGAGCGAAATGCTGCCGTGGTGAAGACCGCGATCCAACTGCGCCCGCGCTTAGCCAGATATCAGCCCCCAACCACCGGCGTCGACTCTCTTACCCCTCTCTCCTCCGCCTCTGTCCGCTTCACTCCGCTCTACACTGGCGACCACGTTGCCAGTGGTGGCTAACGCCAGTCGATAGCATGTTGCTATTATTATTGCGATGATCGACGCCTTGACTATTATTACCGTCGTATCCGTTGCCTGTTAAATTCGATAGTGCGATTCCTTGTTACGATCAAACTACTGTTCTGTGCCGCCATATGATAGTCCGTTATGACTCGAATTGACCGAGATTCGACGTTCGAATATTCCTTTCCACCGATATTTGCACTCTACGTGACAATATCCGATGCCTTCTCGCTATTATTGTTATAGTATCTGCTGGAAATTGGAAATGTAGGACGTTCGAAATAGAGGCGTTCCTTGTTCGAATGGATAGAGAATCGAAATTCTCTTAACTCTTAACTTGGTTACTGCGAGTCAATTGGGGAATCGAGGAGTGAATGTTTCGATGATACGTAAAAGTTTGCTTGGAACACGAAGTTAAAATTAACTCTCGGACGAAGGGATACAGGATCGATAACAAAGAACTTTCTTTCTCACACTTTTAAGAATTCAAAATATCGTAAATATATATGTATAATAATATAATGTTTATTATATTGAAAAACACAGAATTTTTTTATTTGCCATGTACTAGATTCGAATTTGATGTTTCAGTTTTGTTTTATAATATAATTTGGAAAAAATCGATAATTCTGGTTAACTCGTTCAAAAAAATGTTTTAATATTGTTTGCTTATTTGTAATAATTTAAAACAAAAAACAGAATGAATACTATCGAGCTAAAATTATTCAAGGGATTAAGTTTTATTAGAAATTTAAAAAGTGTTTCTATCTGTTGGATTTGAATGAACATTCTTTCCACTCGTCTAATGAATTAAATTTTGAGCATAGACCAAATTTAATTTATACCTACTGTATTTTTTTTTCCTAAAAAAATTTTCTGTAATATCTATGTTTTAATAAAATTGCGTTTATCTTCTTCGTACATTTTTCTCAAAATTCTCAATTTTGATTCTGACGTTCTGATATTCGATTCTGATATTCTTTATTAATTCAAAGAAAATTGATGTTTGCGGAATATTTATCGAATAAATTTTATTTCGGCCAGCCACGCTATGAAATTTCAATTTATGTAGTGGAATTATCGCCAAAGATCACGGGAGAATTTTTCTTTCAAATAATCGGATTAGAAGATTTTTCCGCGACGCCATATTTAATTTTGCGAGTAAATAAATCGGATGCTAATAGAGCAACTAGATCATCAAAATTGCGTTTACAACAATTACGACATCGATATTTTCTATGCTTTCGATTTTGTTCGCGTCTTGTTATCTTCCTTAACAATTTTTTAATTAACAATACGTCATTCTTGTTTAGAATTTTTCTGTAACGGAAAAAAAAAATCGACATCAAGGATTTAAATTTTCGGAGAAATTAATTATTTTAAAATTATTTATGAAATTGAAATATTCAGCGTTGCTTCTTTTCTAATTTAATCGCTTTCGAGGATAATTTAAATTTATATTTGCGTTATTTTGTAAAAAAAAAAAAAAAGAATCATCAAGAAAACATTGGCGAGGGATCAACTTCTATCGTTTATTTCTTTATTTTTCCCATATTTTTTGTTCTGTTTGTTCACCACGAACACGTTATATTTGAATCCCGTGAAAATACAACAATCGTACACAAATTACGTACAAAAAAATATTCAACGATCGAATAAGTTTCTGACTTTTTTTTTGGAAATTTTTTCTTTGCGCGCGAAAAAATGTAATTGAAAATTGTATTTCTCAAAGACGAATTCTTTTCTTTTCTTTTTTTCTTTTCATGGCTATCGATCATTAATCGATCGTGTTCAAAGAACATTCATTTGACTCCAATTTTTATTTACAACGAGACACGTCAGTCGCGAAGTCATAAACGCGAAAAGCTGTCCAACTGTATCGATCAATGAATAAAGCGTCGTATCGCGCCGTGCGTTTACGTAAAGTCACGTTGTGTCACACGTTTCAAAATCTTTCAATATTGAAATATCTCCAGTACAAAAATTTTGTTAAAAAAAAAAAAAGCCGGAAAAAGCTTTGCTTCGATGTATCACAATCGATAAATGTACGGTCGATAATTGATGTTAATGACTTTCGAACAACAAAAATAATTATTTTCAAATAAACTATAAGATATCGAGAAGATTAG